GTGAAGAACAGGTATCCATTGCCTCGTATTGATGACTTATTTGATCAGTTACAGGGTGCCAGGCCATTTTCCAAGATTGATTTACGTTCCGGCTATCATCAGTTGAAGATTCGGGAGCCAGATATCCCGAAAACTGCCTTCAGGACTCGGTATGGTTACTACGAGCTCCTTGTGATGTCTTTTGGGCTGACCAATGCCCCCAACAACTTTTATGCACTTGATGCACAGTGTGTTCCGGCCTTATCTTGACTCATTTGTCATTATGTTTATTGATGACATTCTGGTATACTCCCAGACTCGGGAGGATCATGAGTAGCACCTGAGGATTGCGCTTCAGACCTTGAGATAAAAGAAGTTATATGCAAAATTTTCAAAGTGTGAATTTTGGCTAGACTTAGTGGCATTCTTGGGTAATATAGTATCGAGTGATCGGATCTAGGTGGATCCGAAGAAGATTGAAGCAGTGCAGAGTTGGCCCAGACCGTCCTCAGCTACAGAGATCCAGAGTTTTCTTGGTTTGGCGGGGTATTACCGTCGCTTTGTAGAGGGATTCTCATCTATTGCAGCACTTATGACTAGGCTGACCCAGAAGGGTGCTCCGTTCAGGTGGACAAAGGAATGCGAGGAAAGCTTTCAGAAGCTCAAGACAGCTTTGACTACAGCCCCAGTATTGGTATTGCCTACAAGTTCGGGGTCTTATACTGTACATTGTGATGCATCGAGGATTGATCTCGACGCGGTGTTGATACAGGACGTTAGGGTGATTGCCTACGCGTCCAGACAACTGAAGGTGTATGAAAAGAACTATCCTGTTCACGACCTTGAGTTAGCAGTTATTGTTCATGCCTTGAAGATTTTGCGGCATTATTTGTACGGTGTTCCTTGTGAGATTTACACCGATCACCGGAGTTTGCAACATCTGTTCAAGCAGAAAGACCTTAACTTGCGTCAGCGAAGGTGGTTAGAGCTACTTAAGGACTATGATATCACTATTTTGTACCATCCGGGGAAGGCCAATGTGGTGGATGATGCTTTGAGTCATCGGGCAGAGAGTTTGGGGAGTCTAGCATATCTACCAGCAGTAGAGAGGCCATTGGCGTTGGATGTTCAAGCCTTAGCCAGCCAGTTTGCGAGATTGGATATTTCTGAGCCGAGTCGAGTATTAGTTTGTGTGGTCTCTCGGTCTTCTCTTTATGATCGTATCAGGGAGCGTCAGTATGATGACCCTATCTGCTTGTCCTTAAGGACACGGTCCAGCACGGTTATGCTAAGGAGGTCATTATTGGGGATGATGGTGTATTGAGGATGCAGGGCAGGCTGTGTGTGCCTAATGTGGATTCGGTCGGTCGTTTTGAAAGTAATAGCCCCAATTCCCTATTTATTGTTTCCCCCGCATCTATTTATGCTATTGTGACTTGTCGGGAGGCTTCGCTTTGGTTTTTGGAGTGTTCCGAGATACTTAGTCCCTAAAACGGGAGCTTAAGCCTTAGGATTTGGACCGTAGTTGGAACTGTATGAAGACGACTCCAGAATGGAATTTTGTCGGTTCTGTTAGCTTGCTTAGGTGATTTGGGGTTTAGGGGCGTGCCCGGATTGTGTTTTGGAGGTCCATAGCTTATTTAGACTTGAAATGGCGTAAGTCAAATTTTTTGAGATTTTGACCGGCAGTGGACTTTTTGATATCGGGGTCGGATTCCAATTCCGGAAGTTGGAGTAGGTCCATAATGTTGAATATGACTTGTGTGCAAAATTTAGGGTCAATCGGACGTGGTTTGGTTGGTTTCGGCATCGGTTGTCGAATTTGGAAGTTTCAAGTTATTTAAGTTTGAATCGGAGGATGATTTGTGATTTTAGCATTGTTTGATGTGGTTTGAGGGCTCGACTAAGTTCGTGTGGTGTTTTAGGATTGGTTGGTATGTTTGGTTGAGGTCCCGGAGGCCTCGGGTAAGTTTCGGGTGGTTAACGGACTTGGAATGGAAGTTGAGAAATTTCTGAAGTTTGGTCTTTTGCTGGTATGATCGCACCTGCGAGGGTATTAGCCGCAGGTGCGAGGCCGCATGTGTGGTAGGTTGAGCGCAGGTGCGGAAGGGGTGGAGATCAGCAGAGGTCGCAGGTGCGATGGTTTCTCCGCACCTGCGATAGCGTAGAAGCGGAGGCAGCCAAGCTAGTCATTTTCGCAGTTGCACCCACATTTTTCGCACCAGCGGGCGCGCAGGTGCGAGCCCAGGCTCCGCAGGTGCGGAAATGCCTGTGCAGTGATTAAAACCGAAGGGTTTCGTGATTTTTGTCATTTTGGACTTTGCAAACTTGGTTTAGGGAGATTTTTGAGAGCACTTTTGAGGCATTTCTTGAGATAAATCCCTTGTGCTTATTTTTAATCAATAATCTTGTTTCCCCGTTTATTTTTTCATCTAGTTAGCGTGTATTTAAGGTGGAATTTGGGAGTTTGAGGCTAGGGATTTCGAAAGTTTGAATTGTTGATTTGAAGGACTATTTGGTGTCGAATTTTAGTAAATTTGGTATGGTAGGACTCGTGGGTGAATGGGCTTTCGAATTTTATAATTTTTGCCTGATTCCGAGACGTGGGCCCGGATCGACTTGTTAGGGAGAATTTCGGAATTTTTGTTAAATATTGATTTCATTAATTAGATGAGTCTATTATGGTTGTATTTATGATATGCAATTATTTTTGGCTAGATTTGGGTCATTCGGAGTCGGATATTCGTGGAAAAGACATTGTTACCGATTGATTGAGCTTGGTTCGAGGTAAGTGACTTGCCTAACCTTGTGTGGGGAAAATTTCCTTAGGATTTGTACTATTTTTGATATATGAGCGTCGTGTACGTGAGGTGACGAGTACGTACACAGGCTAATTGTGTAAAAACCCGATTTTTTTACTATGTAATAACCTGATTTCATTCTTATTTGAGTTTCATCAGCATGTGTAGTATCCTGCTAGATTAGAATAGCATGCCTACTTGCCCTAACTGTTTATTTGAACTACGTGCAGCATGTTTAGTGAATTTACCTATTTTTCCTTAACTGGTACTTAGGTTGAACTGTAGAATTTCGTGCAGTAACTATTGAATTTTATTGTTTGGCTGCATATTTACTTTGGGACTACAGAACGATATTCCGGGAGATCTCCCTATACTACATATTTACTTTGGGACTACGGAACGGTATTTTCGGGAGATCCCCCTACACTGCATATTTACTTTGGGACTAGGAACGATATTCCGGGAGATCCTCTTGTACTACATATTTACTTTGAGACTACGAAACGGTATTTCGGGAGATCACCATGTTTTGCATATTTACTTTGGGACTACGGAACGGTATCCTGGGAGATCCCCTGTTGTTATTTTCTGTGTACTGAGTTGTTGACTTGCTATGATTTCATTCTTGTTAAATTTTAGTACTTATTTTTACTGTAATATTTCATTATGTCTTAGTTATTATATATATACCAGTAGGGCCCTGACCTGATCTCGTCACTACTCGACCGAGGTTAGGCTTGGCACTTATTGGGTACCGTTGTGGTATACTCATGCTACTCTTCTGCACATGTTTTGTGTGTAGATCCAGGTACTTCTTATTAGCCCCGCTACTAGCTGAGAGTGCTTGCTGCTGTACGGAAACTTCAAGGTATATTTGCCGCGTCCGCAGACCTCGGAGTTCCCCTCTATTCCCTCCTATGTCATTTACCTTCCTTACTTCTGCTATTAGACTCTGGTATATAGAGATAATAGTTTTCTTCTGTAGCTTGTGACTTATGATGTTTCGGGTTTTGGGAATATTGTGTATTACTGGAGTGATGGTTATTGTACATGCCAAGCGGCATTATTACCAGTCATTTAGTAATTACCTGTTGCAGATAGTTGTTAAGTTTTACTTTCGTTTTTGTTATTTCCGCATTTCGTTAGGCTTGCCTAGTCGTAGAGATTAGATGTCGTCACGACGTCTTACGGAGGGAGAATTGGTTCGTGACCGTTAGACATGTACTAATGAACCCCCAATGCTTACATGACAAGCGTGCATTTTCTAACTTAAATTGAGCGTGTATAGCAAAGACTTTCACGGGAAAATATGGAAGTTTTGCCAGAATTTTCCGGCCATTGTCTCCCCTTTTCTAAAGTTAACCATGATTTTTTGGCCATTCTTCTTCTATCGCTGGCAAATCATTACCATGCGTTCCAACCGATGAAAATCTTCTCAAATGCACCACTTTCTGTTCCCGTTTTGGAGGATCCCCGCCTCTCACCTACACTTTTCCTTCCCCGTCTCCAGCACCATCTTTCTCTACTGCCCTGCAGTTTGCACCACTCCTTCTCAAGACTTTGATCAGGAGTGTGTGAACTCCTATGTCGGTGGAGTTCTTTTTCTTTTTTGCTGTTTTCTTTTTTGATTTGTCTTTTTCCACCTCATCCGAGAGTTGCTAAAAATTTTTGTATTTCTTGCTGGCTGTTTTTGAGGGGTTTAATTGGAATAATTTTGGACTACTTAAAGTATTCAATTTCGCACCCTAAATTTAGGTGCTCTAAATAAGAATTTTTGGCTAGTTTTGGGGTGGGGGTGGGGGTGGGGGATAGTATTCTGCTTTTTGAAAAGTTTCCTGTTTTTACGACACTGTAACAGTACTTTGACACCACATGGAATGAGAGGAAGGAACAATGTGAGGCAAGCAACCATTGCTTTCATTAATGGGGTTTTAGAAAGCGATTAGGGCCAACTATAAGAAAACTAAAATTCGACCCTACATATACATAAATACTCATGTAGAGACCAGTAGTGTATCATAGTAATTAAGCAATAAATAAATTATGGAAGTTGATCACATAAAAACACAAATATCATATTAAATTGTTGGGTTTTTAATTAGCAATGAATGAATGATCATATGAAGATGCAAATACACTAATTTATAAAAATTCAATAATTAGCCATCAAAGAGGGTGTCTTCTTCACGTTTCACGCTAATTTCGGTGCTTTGTTGATCACTTGATGATGTATCATAATTGGTGGAAGTGTACATTAGTACACTATAAAGGTCCTCCTGTTCACTGATCATTTCTCCCATTTGTAGTTGATTGTTTTCTTGATCATGATGAGCCCATGTGCGACTATTATATTTAGTAAATCCTTCCAATTCAGTTGCCACTTCTTTCATAGTAGGTCTTTCTTCTCCTTTTGTGTTAAGACATCTAACCACAAGCTCACCAATGGCATTGAGCTGCTCCAAGGAGCCTTCTTTCAAGACCCTATGATGGAGAATTTGAAATAAGCGATTCTCCTTCACAGAAGCTTTAAAATATGTGGCTAAACTTTTTTCTTTGTTGGGTAGAGTGAGATCAATAGCTTCTCTTCCCGTTAACAATTCCGCTAGAACTACACCAAAACTGTAGACATCACTCTTGTCTGACAATCCCATTTGTATGCCTTCAGGATCTAGATAACCCAATGTGCCTGGTATAAGTGAACTCATATCAGCCTGGTCGAAAGGTCTTAACCTCGAAGCCCCAAAATCAGCAATCCTTGCTGTGTAGTAGTCATCTAGTAGTATATTTGCTGACTTGATGTCTCTATGTAGGATAGGTGTAGAAGCTGCATAGTGGAGATAACTAAAGGCATCAGCAGATTCAACAGCAATTCTTAAGCGATTTTGCCAAGAAAGCCAAGGCATTCCTCCATTGGTATGTATATGGTGGTGAAGGGTACCATGAGATATGTATTCATAGACCAATAAAGGGACTTCGGTCTCTAAGCAACAACCCAATAGTTTCACCACATTCCTGTGGTTAATTTGAGTGAGTATTACCACCTCATTTATAAACTCTTCTATTTGGTTTTGCTCAAGCTGTTTAGACTTCTTGATTGCAACTATGCGTTGATCTGGTAGAATCCCTTTGTAAACTATGCCATTTCCACCTACTCCAAGGATGCGATCTTTAGCAAAGTTGTTGGTGGCTTTTTTAAGCTCTTCAACGGTAAACACCTTATTTAAATTCGACGATGTCTGCTGCTTTAATAGCATACCACCATTTTGCTCGAAGAACTTCTCCCGTAATTTTAAAATTTTTCTCCTTTTTATACCGAAATATATCCAACTGACACTAACCAGTAGTGACAATAATCCAAGACCTAAACCTGCATTTGATCAATAGAGTAGAATATCAGAAAGCACTGGGCCATTTCTTTTTGACACTGTTTCTTGAATCGGAGGACNAGAAAACATTTTGACATTTCTTTTTGACACTGTTTCTTGGATCGGAGAACATATTTTTCTTCTGCAACAAATAGAAGACTTTATTCTCTCATATTTTTATTCAAGTAATAGGGAGAAACATAGTCTGTGAGGAATTATGTATCAAAAAAGGGTATTCCTTTTGAGTGTGTAATAGCCTCAATGAATTTGTGATGCTTTGAATACTGGTTGTAAAATCTCCTTAGTATAGTGATATTTGCTTCTCCGGCACAGTTTTCCCGCTTTTTTGAGAAGTTTTTTTCATTTAAATTTTGGGGTTCATTGTTTGTTCGTGATTATTTTCATATTATTCCTTCGTCCCCACAAGTGGTATAGGAGCCTAGAAGGATATGGATTTGCTCATTTGACAATGACTACACAAGCCAGAGAAGGCACAGCTAGAAGCCACATACCAGAAAGATAAAGATTGGTCAGCTTTTGATGAAAAGGGGTCAGTATGCAATCAAATTGCACTTATCATCTGACATGCTCAATTTTTATTTTTATTTTTATGAAGATAGTTTATGTGGAACATGAATTAGATTGGAGAGTCTACACATGTACTGGTTGTAAAATCTCCTTAGGATAGTGATATTTTGCTCATCAGCCATAGTTTTGTTTTTCTTATTTGAAAAGAGTTTTTCATGTAAATCTTGGAATTCATTCTTCATTCTTTATTCCCCTTGTTTACCACGACTATTTCTGTGTTATTTCCTGCATTCTTTTGCTTGTTACTGCTACTTTCTTTTCATCTTTACTTGAGCTGAGGGTCTATTTGAAACAACCTCTCTACTTTCAAGGTAGGGGTAAGGTCTGTGTATGCACTACCCTCCCTAGACCCCACTTGTGGGACTATATTGGGTTTGTTGTTGTTGTTCCTGCATCTCCTACACAGACTACACGACTAGAACTACCGAAATGTGGAACTCCTAGCTAATCATTCTGCATCGTAATTGCTTACATACCAAGAGATAACTTCAAGATAGGGAGATCACGCTCCTTCTGGCAACCACGTCCCTTCTGGCCGTCTCCAAAATATCCTTCCGGACAGGAACACTGAAATCCTCCTGGAGTGTTTTTGCAAATCCCATCACAAGGATTCTTTGCGCACTCATCGATATCTGTAAGAGGAATACTCAAATTAGTGCAGTAGAAAGTAAAATTTACCCCTTGTTTGGGGAAAAATGGGGGTGGGGGGTTGAGGGAGGTCACTATTTGCTGTCTGCATTTATTTATTTATTCATTTTTTTTCTTTACATATGCTGCCTCAAAATCCCCCTGCCTCCGTAAATTCACAACTAGGCAGTTGATGTTTATGCACAGTTCCAATGTATAAATTTGCTTAAACTGTGAGCAAGTAGAGTGTTCTTTTTCAGGTTTAAATGTACGGTGTTCGGAACTCAGCGGCACGCGCTAATCAGAACTTGCACTGAGAGAAAGCTCATTATGGAAGTTTTAGTGCTTTCTACCAAAGAGAATAACATTTCAGAGTTCGAATCCCAGAAGTATGGTCAAGGATAAACACGGATCTCTCCCAAAATGTCCATACTTGCCAAAAATGCTGCTAACCAGTTGGACTTTTATTAACTCTCTTCTCACTTTTTATTGAGAGTTACTTCTATGACCTGATAGTGTAAGAAAAGATCTACACTGTTGGTGTATATAAGTTATAAACTCATGTAAATCAGGCAAGAACTCTAACCTTGGCAGCCTGGAGTAAGATAAGGATTACCGTCATATCCTTCCTCACAAATGCAGCGATAACCTCCACGTCCACTTTCAGAATCAATGCACAGACTATGTTCCTTGCATGCATAGGCAGTGGAGTTTCTAACCTCACTGCAACTTTGATTCCCAATTGCCCAGTCAATAACAACAGGTACATCTTTCACTATTCTGCTTACAAAATTTGGGTCTGTTAAGTCTGATGCACCCCGAAATGTAAACTTTTCGTGCTCACCAAGGAATGCATAGCCACAAGGGTTAAAAGACCAGACCTTAGTATGGTTAAGCATGCTAGTCACAATCCCCCAAAAGGTCATCAATCCCTTAGGGATGGCTGCTTGACAGCAACCAATCCCAGAACAAGTCCCATTGCTCACATCCACACTTCTTGAACACGAAGTTATACATCCAATGCTAAAATTACGCCCTTCATACAACGAAAGACCAGAAGCTAAAGCCAAATCATCACAGCCTACGAGAGTCAACCTGTTATCTTTATCAGATAAGGTGAAAAATGGGACTCCCGTGTCGATTCTCATAGTTTTCCGTTCAGCTAGTTCGCCATTTTGTTCATAACAGCTGCCTGTGAAGGTGTTTTTGACTCGTATTTGGCTAGTTGATATGTCGAGGACCTCCATACCTCCAGTGTTGAGATAGGCGATAGGAGGATCGAATGAGGTATTGCACCTGATGTCGAATTTATGGTTTATAGAGCAACCGGTACCTATACCGATCCCGAATGGGAAGGGAACAGTCATGTTTCCGCATTTCGGTTGGCAGCCAGGCTTAGTGTGGTTGGTGCTCTCTATTGTCATAGCTAATAAAGGTAGAAGAAGAATTAGGGGAAGGAAAGCCATGTTTAGTACTTCAGCCTGCAGGCTAGCTAGCTAGTGCTATATTTAGAAGTGATATAGCTCTTTGGTGTCATCATAGACTACTTAAAAGAGGGGCAATATATATTATGGAAATCAATTTCAAATTGTTATATTAGCAAGTTTCAAATTTCTTGGCATGTTAGACATTTCTTTTGAATTCAACACCTTTAATACTCCATCTGTTTTAAATTATGTGACATAGTTTATTAAGTACGGAGTTATATATAAAAAAAAAACTTTTGAAAACCTCTGGTCTTGAACATGTCATAACATTTTGTGCCTATAAAATTGTCATTAAAGGATAAAATAAGGCGTTTAAGTTAAGTTATTTCTAAGTTTATAAAGTTATCATTTTTCTGATATAGACTTAAAAGGAAATGCTGCCACACTAAATTGGAATGGAAGAAGAGCTGTAGACTTGTGCTAAAACGACAAGATCAGGACTACAACTTGTGATAGAATGAGTATTTTTGTATCTTGTTGAGGATTAAACAATTACCAACTTGTCCGTTAAACTTATTGCTCTCAATTACTAAATCTCTTGGTGATAGAAGACGTGCTCTGCATATTAATGAAGAATCAAGAACTTGCTAAAATTAACGTGCTTCCAAATGGATAATAAGTAGTATTCAATTGGGAAATATGCTACAAATAGAAGGGTTAGCTTCGCTGCAAAATACTTCATATTTTTCTAGTTTGGAGAAGACTTTGAAGGTGGCAAATTCCTCCGTACGAGTTGACATTAAAAATTCTCCTGGGGCAACTTGCTTTCAAATTTTTGCCTAATACCCATTATAAATGATCATGCCATTGCAATCACGTTCAAAGAAATCTTGTATTGAGTTATAAATCTTTTAAATAAGCTTTATACTTTAGTTTGCTTCTTTTAAGGGAATATTGTGTATGCACTTAAAAAGTAAGTGATTTATCCTTACAAATATCCAACTAATTAAGGTGGTCTCTTCTTTTTGGGATCTTTTACAAATACCCACCCATCGCAAACTATTTACTCACCCCTACCCATAAAGTTTTTTTCCTATCCATTTTTTTTAGCCAAGCCAAGCCAAGTCGAGTCAAGCCAAGCCGAACCAAGCCAAATCAAGCTAAGCTAGGTTAGGTAATTAGTTTTAACTGGATAGGTATATATCGTAAATAATTTTAAAATAGATAGAGAAGGATAATTATTTTAAGCTCAATGGGTATTTTACATAAATTACTTTTTTTTTTTTTTTT